GAAGGGGATGCGGGGAAGTGGGAGGGAAGATGAAACTGGAGGGAGTTGAGGAAGAGGGCTTCGATTGGGATATATAATGAATAATTTGTGAAAAAAATGAAATAAAATAGCACGAGCTTAAAAAAAAACATGTATTTATTTATTGACTTATTTTGTGTGTAAGCGTGTGGTTGTGCCTGTGCCACAGCATGTGTGTGGAGTTCAGAGGACAACTTAAGGGAGACTGCTCTCTCCACCGTGGCAGTACTAGAGATAGAACTCAGGTCTTCAGACTTACTGGCAGGCAACTTTTCCCAGTGTACCATCTCATCGGCCTATGACTTACACATCTTAATAAATATGTCACCTGGACATCCTGTGTTCTGATGTTGAGGTGAAACTCTCCACTTGCTAGAACTGATGACTCCCACTTGAGCCAACTCTTAGGTCTATGGTTTGGAGTCTGTGGAAGCTCCTTGGCTATTTATAATCCTAGTTGGATCTGGAAGACCTTTGCTTTTCTGTACACAGTTCCCACCTCCAGATTCTCTGAAGATAATGGAGGAAAAAAATCCTCAAACAACAGAAAGGATCAAAATTCCTAACTGCAAACAATGACATCAATGTCATTTCCACTTCCTATCCTGGCTGGCACCAGTAGTCTGCCTGTACCAGTAAGATTCAATCCTGCGTCAGTAGGAGTTTAAACTTGGATTGAAGTGTTGCCATGGCAATCCCCTGAGATGCTAGATAGGCATCTCAAAAATGAAAAAGCAGCTTCTCTAGTTTTCCTTCAAGTTCGCTTGTTTTGTTGAAAGGCCTATTTGCAAAGGACGAAACATCAAAGACTGTGCTTTAGATCAAGCAGAGAACAGAATACCTGAGAGAGGCTGGGCGGTCTTCCGGCAGCCATCATCTTAGGTGTTCTCCTGTCTGTTCTACAATCTTAGAGTGGAAAAGACTCAAGGTGAACTGAGAACTGATAAAGCCCTTGCCCTGGGTCCTTACACTGTTTTGGTCCCTCGCTTGTCTCCCTTCACTTTAGAAAAGAAGCACATTTCTCCCATGGGAGATCTTGTTCCCACATTTCTCTCTTCATGTTCTGTTGAACAGGAGGCTTGCTGTGGTCACATGAATAGGGACAAGAGAGGGGATGGACATGAAGCAATTTCCGTTATACTTTTGTTTTTTTTTTTTTTTAAGTTCATTTGTGTGTGAGTGTGGGCGAGCGAGTTCGAGAATGCACACGTGTGCACATACACACGCACGCCATGGTACATGTATGTGGAGGAAACCTGTGGGAGCTGATGCTCTGTGACCAGTGTGTGTGGCCCAGAGAATAAACTCGGGTCATCCGGCTCAGCAGCAAGTGCCTTTACCCACTTGGCAATCCTGACAGGACCACCTTTAGTTTTAAAAATGGAAATATTGTTTTCCTAATACGGAAGCAGTAATTTCTAGTTTGCCAAAACCCAAAAGAAACAAAGAAAAATGTAAATGCTAAGAATTCAGCCATCCCAAAGCAATAGCAATAACGTTAGCGCTTCACATACACCCTGTCCATTAACCCACTTATACCTAAAGACATAATTGTGTTAAACGTAATTTTGGTCTGTGGGTTAGGACTTCAAAATGTTTGCAAAGTATGGCAGTCAGAATAAAGCAGGTCGTGATTAAGAGCAAAGAGCCCTATCCATGCACGTCTTCAGTAACACACATTTTATTCTTGCTGATACAAATAGTCCAACCATGCATGGGCTGGCAGTGAAGTGTGTGTGTGCACGTGGCCACAAGTTCATGAGGGAACTGCCTCTACCCCTAACGTGACTAATTACTGTACCAGCGGGATTAAATATCTGGAATTTATACTTGATCCTGAAGTGGTGAATTACATCCGAAATGTATTGGCTTGTGCTCTGACCTCATCGGTCCACAGCAGGCCATCTTTCTGGCAGAGGGCAGCTAGAAATCCATGGACTGAAACCCGCTATTACATCTGTTTGTCAATGAACACAGATCTACTTTGTTATTTTCAAAATTTGTGCATCATTGTGTGCGTGTACGTGGGCAGGTTTTTGTGGGGGTGATGTGTGTGCGTGTGTGGGTGTGTGTGCTCTTGTGTGCATGAGGAGGTCAGAGGTCAACCTAAGGTGGCATTTTTCGGAAGATTGTCTGTCCCGGATTTTGGGACAGGGTCTCTCACTGGAACCCAGGAGTCCTCGGGCTCTGCTGGCCGGTCAGCCCTGGGATCCTCCTCTCTGTGGCCTCACAGCCAGTGAGCCCCAGATCCCCTGTCTGAGTTTCCCCAGAACCAGGACCACAAGAAAGCCACCACACCGGTTTCTTATGTGGGCTCTGGGACCAGGCTCAGGTCCTTGCGCTGGTGAGGCAAACATTTTGCCAAGGGAGCCACCTTTGGTCCCCAGGGTATCATGGTGTATTAAACCAAACTACTTTAGGGTAGTGGTTCTCAACTTTCCTAGAGCTGTGACCCTTCATTACAATTCCTCATTATTTCATTACTACTTTATAACTGCAATGTTGCTACCATTATGAATAGTAATGTAAGTATTTGGTTTTTTTAATGGTCTTAGGCAACTACTGTGATAAGGCCCTTCAGCCCCCAACTGCAGGCCGAGAACCACTGCTTCCGGCTATTTCCACCTATAAAAAGCTGTTTTAAAACTTAGACATCCTGTTTTTCTAACGAGTCCCTTTTCTTATTTACTTTCTTCTAAGAGGTTTTAACAGAAGGGTATACACACAGATGAGAATATAAGTGTAAACCCACTTTAGAAAAGTTTTACAGTTTCTTAACAGTAAAATTTTTTCTACACGAACTATGAATTCCACTCACAGGAAAATAAACGTGTATCTCTACCTCCTCAGGAAAGACTGTGTGTGAAGATTAAATTTTCATTCGAGTTATCATTCATGCCAGCCAAAGGGAGGCAATAACTCAAGTGTCCATCAGCTGGCAGACAGATAAACAAAATGTAATATACCTACACAATGGAATATTATTCAGCAATAAAAAGGAACAAAGCAGTTTCTGCTACAGTATACATGAGCCTTGAGACCATTATGCAAGAGAAAAAAAGAAATACAGAAATATACGTGGTGTATGATTCCATTTATGCAAACTGATCAGAATGGGCAAAACCGTATAAAATAGTTTATAGGCTGCTGAGGGCTGGAACTGAGTGATTGAGAGGTGATGACCAGAGAAGGCAAGATGCAAGGTTGGGGTGCATGCGTGTGTGTGTGTGTGTGTGTGTGTGTGTGTGTGTGTGTGCGCACGCACATGTGTGTATGTGTGTATATGTATGTGTGTATGTGTGTGTATGTGTGTATATGTATGTGTGTATGTGTGTGTCTGTGTGTATATGTATGTGTATATGTATGTGTGTGTGTCTGTGTTTACACTCCCACGCATGCATGTAGAGACGGTCCACATCAGGCTTCCTCCCACATCACTCTCTACCTTAGTTTCAGAGACAGAGCTCTCACTGAAGCTGCGGCTTGCTGCTCCTTCTGATTGGCTAGCCAGCGAGCTCCAGGGCTCCTCCTGTGTCCTCCTGGGCTGTGTGTGTGCTACCACACACGGCTTTTTGTGTGGATATGTGGAACCGACTTCCAGCCCTCCTGTTGGCGCTGCAACCCCCTTCCCCGTAGAGCACCACCCTGCTCCAGAGTTCCCCTACAGGAAGTTAACAGAGACTGCTCCAGCTGGGCTGCTGGCTGTCCGCTCCAGACAGAAGCACTCTTACTTGCACACAAAATGAGCTGATTTTATGGCACAAAAATTACACCTCCAAAAGGCACTTTAAAATGTGTAAAGTCAGGGGCTGGAGAGGAGAGGTTGCCAGGGCGTCCTGCTCTTGCAGAGGAGCAGAGTTCTGTTCTTCAGCTGCAGGGAAGCCCAAAGCCTCTGGCCAGTGTACATCATCACACATGCACACACACACACACACACACACACACACACACAGGCACACAGCACACACATACATGCATACACACACACACAATTAAAGACAATACAGATTTTTAAATGTGTGGTGCCTTGGCATACTTTTCAAGTGTCTGTTCTATGTTTTCCAAATGCCAGAAAGGAAAATGTGTTGCTTCGTATTTGTGATCGTTATGTTTCTGTTATTTAAGTGAGATTTGTTGTGTGTTATAATCAAAGGTCAGCTAGAACTTTTAAATCAGTCCCTGGAGGGGCTGTCTTGTTATCACTGTGATTTTAATTTTTAAAATTTGTTTATTTATTTATTTATTTTACTTATTTTTTATGAGTAAGGATGCTTTGCGTGTCTGTATGTGTGTATACCACTTGCATGCCTGGTGCCTGTGGAGGCCAGCAAGTGTACTGGATCTCTGAGAACTGTAGTTACAGACTGTTGTGAGCCACCATGAGGGTTCTGGGAATGAAACCTGGGTCCTCTGAAGAGCTCTTTACTGTTGAGACATCTCTCCAGCTACTGTGCAATGTTTTATTATTCTCCTGTACCCATCCCTTGCCTATGAGAAAATAGAAGTAACCTCCCAGAAAAAAAATGTTTACAATTCAAGATAACTTTACTATCGCATCTGGGTTTCCCAGAGTTTTGTGTTGAATGGGAACTCGCCAGAAGAAGTCCAAGTGCCTGTATTACAGAGATTTAGTGGACACTATAGCAAGGAATTTAACGTCAAGCCAAAGACTGAGGGAAGCAGAATTCAAGCATTCCATGGATATCTTTGGTCTTGTCACTTCATCCACACCCCTCTTACAGATACAGGCACAACCAGATGATGAGGTAGTTTGACCTCATGGGTTCTGAGTCAAGCATAGCTAGTTTGATAGATTATGACTCCAGCCTAGAAAAACACTGATGAGAACAAAACAAAACAAAAGGCAGAACTACTTTCAAGCAGATAGGATTAGTGTTGAATTTGAATGGGTTTTCACGCCTTCACATGACTCATTTATGAATACCTCACAGCTGTGTTTCCTATCTCTTCTCTCTTTGCAGGTGGCACTCAGGGTTCCCAGGCAACCCAGGCTGTTGCAAAGGCTGGTATGTATATCCATGAATACTACTTTCGATCCCTTCCCTCTTTTGCTTCCTTTAAACCAGGATCTAGTCCCCAGCCCAGAGCTCCTGTTGCTCCTTAGGGAAGAATCTAGCATGAAATGGTGTAGCTGATTCCTTTAGAAGTTTTCTCAAAGGGATAAGTCTTTCTTCAAAGAGGAGCTAGAGAGATGGCTCTGTGGGCAGGAGTGCCCGCTTCACAACACGGGGACCTGCCTTAGAATCCCCAGCATCCACGTGAAAAGCCTCATGTGGCTGCTTGTAGGCCTGTTTCCCCAGTGCTATGTGGGTCATGATGAGAGGATCACTGGAGCTTGGTGGCTGTCAGTCTGACCTCCAGTTCGGTGAGCGACACCTCCTCGATGGAATGAGAGGGGGAATGACAGAGCAGGACTCCTGAGGACCCCCTCTGGCCTTTCCCTGTGTACTCATGAGTAGCCCCCAGCCTCTCAAAAACAATGTATGGAGCTTCAGGTACCTGCACTGAGAATCAAAACATCTAAATATAGCTTGTGAATCTGTGTTTTTTTAATAACATCTTTACTAAGGAAATAAAGGCTTTGTTTCAAAGTGAACAGCATTTGTGGATTGGCCTCTTCGTACACAATAGAGGCTGTGAACACATTCCCTGACTGTGAACACGTTTTGACATCTGAAAATAAATTGCGGGCCATCTGGAATAGCTAATCTCTGAAATGCTTTTTTTGAGTCCCTGCCCTTCTTCATGCTATTAGTTTAAATCCCCTGACTTGTGGACCTTCTGGGGAACCTCACGCTGGGGGAGTTATCTGTTTTCTGAATTGAAAGACTCCCTCAGAAGCCTGCCATTGGTTTACTGTTTTGTTTTTGGTGTAGCTGCCATGTAAATGTACTGGGTTCCTATGTTTATCATTTCTTTTATGGCCTCTGATTTTTTTATTTTTTAAGAAGAGGTCTCACGTATCACAGGCTAGCCTCAAACTCTATGCAGCCAAGACTGTCCACTGACTCCAGATCGTCCTGCCTCTGTTTCCCAGATGCAGAGAGGATTGCTGGCGTGTGCTACTGTGTCCAGCAGTTACGAAGATTTTCATGACCTCCTCACCTGCACTGTTGCATATGATCTCTTACATTTTCTTAGAAACCTCTAAAAATTTCTGACTCTCATTTTCCCATGCTTTTAACATGAGCTCTAGCCATGAAGGGTCTTTCCAGAAGTAATGCATATGCCATGTTTTCAGCTGCTCTATACCTAGAGGATAAAACTCTAAATATAGCTTCTGTATTTATTTATGTGAGATTGCATGATCTGGCCTCTCTGCCTGTGCCTGGAGTCTCCCTCACCAACTGTAGTTCTGAGTATGTTCCAAATTATAATTAATGATTAGAAAGTAGGCAGCTCAGAATGTTCCAGGTTTTAATTAATGAACAGAAACTGAGCACCAACAGCTAGCATTCTCCCGCTACTGTCAGGACCACAGAGATATGCTTGGTTATGTTTAAAACTAATTATATTTCTCTTTTTATAGAAGTCCTTGAAACACATGAGAGAGAGAGAGAGAGAGAGAGAGAGAGAGAGAGAGAGATTGCATTTTGAATATCAGGGGTATCTTTGTATCTGAGTTTCCACCATGCTTAAGAGACACTGGCTAGCTCTATTAAAGCAATTTACTCATTTCATTTACTCTCTGACAGCAGGAATCCTTCTTGGTAGCCCTTTGGTAGAAGGTATTGTGAAGTTTGTGCCAATAATTATTTTATTGCAATGTGGTACAATATACAGACACTGAAATGATTGACACGAAGGAGATACAGACACTGAAATGATTGACACGAAGGAGGAAGTACACTCACTCGTCCCTGGTAACAGGAGTTGTGCTCTGCATACAAAGCCACACACAGAAGCACCAGGGTCAGTCACTAAGGAGTGGGTGGGGTAGATGGCACAGCCCAGCCCAGAGCATGTATTCAAATTTTCATGGGAAGGAATCAGTGAGTGGGCGGATGTGCCCCGTAAGCTTAAGATTGGATACTTGGAGTCATCTTGGCAGGCTCTGGGCTGTAATAGCTGTTCTTTATTGCTCAGTACCTGGCCCTGGGGTGGTTGGGGGCAAAGAGAGTGTTGGTTTTCTGTGTGAGAGTTTGATAGAAGTGGTCAGCAGTGTGTGTCTTAGATAACTTGATTTGTATATTAAAGGCGTACTAGCTGCATAGTCTCCACTGTCTCTGCAATGAGGGAGGGAGTCTCTCCAGGAGCACAGCCTCAAATGCCAGAGCATCAGGCTTATGTAGGAAATGAATGCAAGTGGAGAGAACCATATTACGTGAATTAAGTCAGTCTCGTGAAGACAAAGATTGCATGCTTTTTCTCCCCTGTGGGTTCTAGACCTTAACAATACGTACAGTCATTTATGTGTAGATGAAATGAAAGTAAAAGCAAACCTGGTGAGAGGAATAAAGGGGCCTGATGGGAAGCAGGCAAAGAGGAGGGCAGTAGGGCCCAAAGGGGAGTGTGTTCACAGTGCATTTTCATATGAAAATGGCCTCATACAACTCCACATAAATTATAGTCAGGATAGCTGGTGATGGGTACTGACCATCAGTCTCTCATGGATGCTGATGTGGTGAGGAGCTGTTGCTGTCTAGATTGTATGACTGTAAACAGGTGCATTGGGGCTGGTGTCATGTTCCATCTGCACATGGGGAAGGAATGATCCCCCAGGTGGTGAATAGAGCATCCAGAGACACTTCAACACACACACACACACACACACACACACACACACACACACACACACACAC